ATTCATCGATTTTCAAAATAATCGTTAGTTGCAGCCCTAATATATATACATATATACACATGCATTAAACTGTAACTGGAGCATGTAACAAAAGTAAATTTCTCTCTGGGATTATTAAAGTATTTCTGATTCTGAAGCTTTCCAATGATCATTGGAATAAGGATGTTTTAATAAACAGAGTAAAGGAAAAAAAAATCTTCTGAATCAGGCTAAATTTGATCATTTTTGTCCACAGTTAACAGAATGCATTTTATGTGGTATTTGTACAGGAAAAACGTATTTCAAGCCATGAGTAAATCTAAAAAATTAATCTAGTGCAAGATGACAGAATGTTAAAGACTCCTGGATAGGCAGTGAAACATTTTCTGAAAATCTGGGCAAGTCCAGTTGCCTCTGATTAAAGTCTGTTTTGTGGCTGACATGAATTCTGCATGTGTACATTGTCATGCTATTTCCTTAACCATCTTTTTCGTTTTTCTCTTTTTTTAAGGAAACTGAAATTGCTGCTGACTGCAGTCATGTAAGTTTGCCTGCTCAAACACACCCCTTTCCCACAGTCTTGATCTAGGTGTGTATCCCTAACTAGTCTGTGTAACTGGCATGTATGGTGTATGCTTTCTTTTCCAGCTCCTGTGGAACTATAAGTTGAACCTCACCACTGATCCGAAGTTTGAGTCTGTAGCTGTGGAGGTCTGCAAAACGACAATCTCTGAGGTCAGCTGGTATTGCCAAGCCTTTGAGCCCAACATACACAATTGTACCTCATATTGTATATAAATATTTATTTTGTCATCAGAGATTCATTAGCCTGCTTGAACTACGTGGATCAATGTGCTAAACTTGAATATTTGTGAAAAAAATTGTTTTCACAAATAATGAAGGTTTTAATCAATATGTTGCTATCAAACAGTTGTCCCTACATTAACATGACTGCAAGTAATGGTGATGTTGCTTTAAGCCATTTCCTGCAGCAGAAAAAGCTGATCAATCATGTGGGGTAAAAGTTTGCAACTGCTTTTGTTTCGCAATAAGTCTTTTCATCTCTCGTTCTGTGCATTAAGTCTTTTTTTTTTTTTTTTTTTTTTGCAAAAGACGAAATCCATTTCAAGGAACCGTAAAAACGTTTATTTTTCTTTGTGCTAATTTTAGGGAGTAGCTTTTTTTTTTTTTTTATCTTAACATTTTAATGCGCTACTTGAAAAAGTGCATTATAAAAAGCTTATGGAAAAACACATTACGACCAGCTCCATTTTTCTCAGTTGTGACTTGGGCAAGACATTTCACTCCACCATACCGACATGGTTGTCAGACTGCTTCCCTTTTATGTCAACCTTGCTTCTGTCAGTGAGCACCAAGACAGCTGTGGCTACAGTGTAGCTTGCCTACATCAGTGTGAATGACTGAATGTACTGATAAGCACTTACTGTACTGTATTCTGGATTCATTCTCTCCAGTTGCCTCTTCACTTGACTTCTAGAGACAGACAGGTGCAGGGAGCAGTACCATCTTTGATTTGGCTGACAACAGACTCATGGAAGCAGAAGAGTCAATAACAGAGGAGGACAGGGTCTCCATATGATAGTAGGGAAGAAGGGAAGAGAGCTTGTTGCTAAACTGAATCTGTTAAAGAATGTATTCAATTAATGTGCTGTGTCCACACTTCCATTTGTCCGAACCTCCTTCTGCTTAAAGCCTGTGATCTTTGCCACCCCAGACCACACATCTGATATTATTCTGCTGGAGCTTTCTTTTCCAGCCTTTTCCTGTATGCCTCCTTGCTTTCTCTTATCTTGACCTTAAGTTTCTTCTGTATATTCATCATTAAGTCCCTTTCTCCCTTTTTAAAGGCTTTCTTTTTCTTGTTGAGCAATTGCTTCAGAGCACTTGTGATCTATGGTTTATGATTTGAGAAGCATTTCACTGTTCTGCTAGAGATGGTGTTTTCTACAAAGAAATGTATGTAGTCAGTCACACACTCAAGTCATTGCATTGATGTCCTCTCCATGTGGCTGACACAGTGCATCCCAGTCTATAGCCTCAAAGCATCTAGCATATCAACATAATCAGCCACTTGTTTTACATTCTTGTCATTGGCTGAAGCAGTTCTCCAATTGCAAAATCATAGCTGTTTAGAAAAAAATGCATTTGTGTATTAGTCACGTCAGGGGATCCTTAAAAATCTACACACAAGTGCAGAGGAGTTTAGCTGGCACTGGTAGTTCCAAAATTAAGGTATAATTGTTTATGCATCACAAAGACTTTTGTTAATCTTGTCTTGTGAATATGTAAACCTTGTGTACTTGTCTAAATTACATATGTATGTGTGAATCTTGTCCTTTGCATGCATGAATCTTGTGCTGTGCTTCGAGTATGCATGTGTAGATCCTGTGTTCATGTGTTCATCTGGTGTGCATGTGTGGATCCTGTGTTCATGTGTGCATCGCGTGTGCATGTCTGGATCCTGTGTTCATGTGTGCATCGGGTGTGCATGTGTGGATCCAGTGTTCATGTGTGCATCGGGTGTGCATGTGTGGATCCTGTGTGCATGTGTGGATCCTGTGTGCATGTGTGGATCCTGTGTGCATGTGTGGATCCTGTGTTCATGTGTGCATCCTGTGTTCATGTTTGGATCCTGTGTTCATGTTTGGATCCTGTGTGCATGTGTGCATCGGGTGTGCATGTGTGGATCCGGTGTTCATGTGTGGATCGGGTGTGCATGTGTTACAACATATTTTCTGTCATGATCTGTGTGTACTTGCAGGACTGTGTGCGCACCTTTGGGCATGCATATGTAGTGAATCTGTGCAGAACTAAGCCTCGAGTGACACAAACAGTACTAAATTATAGCGACAGTAATTGAAAAGACTATATTTGTTTTTTTTTTTATACATGGTAAACATATTGACCTCTTTTCATAAGAAATATGAACTTGAATGCATTAAAAGCTTACCTGCGCATAATTTGTAAAACAATTTAAACATTTGATGGACAGATGAAATATGCTGCTGTTACTGACACACAATCAGAACTATTTAAATAAAGATGTTTTGCTTCTCCACATAAAGATTAAAGAATGTGCAGCAGAGGAGTTGGGAAAGGGCTTCTTGGTCTCCTGCCTGGTGGACAACCGTGGCAACATCACCGACTACCAGTGCAACCAGTACATCACCAAGATGGCCAGCATCATTTACAGCGATTATCGACTTATCTGCGGCTTCTTAGACAATTGTCGGGATGACATCAACACTCTGCGCTGTGGTAGCATTAGCACTGGAGAGAAGGTGAGCTATGCTTTGTTAAACATCGACACATCAAAAATAATCAAGTAGTTTATAGTAGGGCTGGGGCATTAATGGATAAAATCGATTAATACAATTTTTGGTTCTTGGCAATTTGTCTTTTTTTTTTAATCAGGATTCACAGAGTTACATCATTTCCTCTTTTTTTGTTCTTAGGGTTATAACTATAAACTATGCTCATAACTAAACTTACTGTTTGATACCACTAGCTGCAAAAGTTTAGTGATATATTTTCTTTCGTTGTTATGAAACATGATAATTTTACAAGCATGTTTCAAAACCTGAATTTTATTGCTTTTTAAATTGAGGTCGTCCTCACAGAGGGGATGATTTAAATCAAAGATAGCTTTTAAAAGCTATATATGTCAAACTTAAAGGTATAGTGGAGGATTTTCTTGAACCCCCTCTCCATGTAAAAAAAAAGCACATGCACAACCCTGTACACGCTCCTGAAAGGAAACGCAAACAAATGCCTGTTAGAGCATGCAGGAGCCCATTTCTCCTCGCGCATGCTCTGTTTAAAAGTTGCTGTTTGAATCGCTCATACAAGCTTACTTTCCAAAAGAACGATTGCATTGTTTCCACTATGTCAGAATCACCAACAGTCATATCACCACAATTAGGAGGACTACTTATTTTAATGATCCACCCGGCAAAAGAACATCCTCCACTATACGTTTAATGAGAAAAAAAAACAGATTTGGTACGACAAAAATTTAGGGATTTGATTTTTAAGTCCTATCATCCAACCCTACTTTCTAGATCTACTTTAGGGTTAAATTATGGAGTCTTCTCTTTAATATTGTGCTTATGTGGAGTCTGTATGTTGGCTAATTTGTTTCTGTGCACCATTGTGTTAATGAAGCTTTAATGACTACTGATTTCTTGTGCAGTGTTTAATGCTTCCTTGTTTGAAACTCTTAATTGACGCCAATTAATGTTCCTCTATATTCTACATGCAAAGACAAAACGCTGTTGAGAGGAGGCATTTACATCAAGGCGCTGTGCTTGTTTAAACCTTCTGATATGGGACTAAACTAACTTTTCTTTGTGCAGGATATTCATTCACAGGGGGAAGTGATCGCCTGTCTGGAGAAAGGTTTAGTTCGTGAGGCTGAGGAGCAACCAGGTGCACATCACATCAAGGACGACTGTAAGAAGGCTATCATGAGAGTTGCCGAACTCTCCTCTGATGATTTCCACCTGGACCGCTACCTGTACTTAGCTTGCAGAGATGACCGTGAGCGGTTCTGTGAAAATGTAAGGATTTTAATATCATATACACAATAATGTTCCAATAAAACTATGAAAAGCATCATTTTTTATAATAAGACATCATCTCAGAAACCTTTTTTGTAATAGAGGTATATCTCAACGGATTGAAATAAAATAAACATACTGTTCAATACAAGTGTACAATACAAATAGTACAGGAAATATACCTTATATAAAGCATATTTTTCTGTACAATATTTTTATTTATACTATTCTCTTAAACTTACTTATACTAAACTCTTGAAGCTCAGTTTTTAGTTTGGCAATAAGTGATGTAAAAGCCAATATTTCTGGTGTGAAAAGGGTCTGTTAAAACAGACTTTAGATAAAATAGCAGTAAATTGGTTACAGAAATTAAGGACATGTGACTCAGGTTGCATGGGCTTGTATGACATCTTTCACATTCATATTCTTATCTTTTTATTATTTCTTATATCTTTTTTTTTCCTATTGCAGACACCAGCCGGGGAGGGTAGAGTTTATAAATGTCTTTTCAATCACAAGTTTGAAGAAGCCATGTCTGAGAGGGTGAGTGCTGTTCATACTTTGATTTTCCTTTAAGCTCTGTTTAGTGGGTTTCTATGAAGAGGTCAGGTCATCATACTGTAATCACTGAATGTTTTTAAGTAAAAGATTCAGTGGATCTGGTTTAAATTAATGCTAAATGGTTTTCATTATTTGGTGAACTGGTAAGTTGAAATACTGATCATTTCTGTCTTTAGTGCCGTGAGGCTTTGACCACCAGACAGAAGTTGATTGCCCAGGACTATAAGGTGAGCTACTCACTGGCCAAAGCTTGCAAGTCAGACCTAAGAAAGTACCGCTGCAACATGGACACAAACATGCCTCGAGCCAGAGAAACCCGTCTCTCCTACCTCCTGCTGTGCCTTGAGGCAGCTCTACATCGAGGTGAGGCTGTTATTTGGACTATATAAACAGAGTTTAAAATTATAATGTCCATACAGGGAAAAGGAATTGTACATTTTGTCTTATTTCTCATATAAAATATGTTTCAGGTCGAGTAGTGAGCGGTGAGTGTCAGGGAGAAATGATGGACTACAGAAGGATGCTGATGGAAGATTTCTCCCTGAGTCCTGAGATCGTGCTTCACTGTCGCAGTGAGATTGAGAATCATTGCTCTGGTTTGCATCGGAAAGGTCGGACGCTTCATTGCCTAATGAGGGTTGGCCGAGAAGACATGGGAACTATTGAGCCCACCTGCCAGAGAGCTGTAAGTTGCATTACTTTTAGCTTCAGTAGAATTATGAGCACCTGGCCATTAGTTAGTTTATTAGTTCTTAGATTTTTGCTCCACAGTTTAAAGAATTTTTAAAGACATAAATTCATTAACATTTTTAGCTTAAATGTAGTTATTAGTTTCAAACATTCCCACTGCAGGAGAACTTTTATACCTCAGCTGAAAGGATTTCCTCTGGCTGCCATGCAGGACAAACATGCAGTTTTATCTAACATGACAGTAAAAACAACAAGGTTCAGCCTTGAGCACACTGGATCCAGTTTTGCGTGCGGTCTGACAGAAAAGGTTGTGGCCTTTAGTGCTCACTGAGAGTCAATAGGGATGATCACACCCAACATGATTTTCTGCATGGGGGGGCTTGCGTAGCTCCGACTGAGTTAAACTCCAGGTCTGTTTTAGTTGGACTACACAGCAATTTCATGGGTCTGACAGGCAGAAAGATGCAGTTACAAAGTAAAACACATCCGTGTTTGGAAAAATACAAAGTAAAACCTGTCAGTCTAACAGGAAAACAGGTTCAGAGTTGCACAGTGCATATAAAGCAGGCGGGGCCGGCTGCCAAACGATCAATGAAACATAAATAAAAAAGAATACTTTACCCATGATAGTTCAGGAGGATACAAAATGTATAATTTAGTGATCCTTTTTGAGCCTCACAAAAACAGAAATGGACCGAAGCTCAGTTTATCAGTCTCATCAAAAAAGGGAAAAAAACCTAATTAGAACAGGAAATGGATATAGTAAAATAGTGATCCTTCTTGAGCCTCACACACGAACAAAATAAGGAGGGGCAGACAGAACAGGTAAGGGCAGCTTATCTCTCCCCTTTTTATAAAAAAGAAAAACAAAAACTTTGACAGACTTCTTAGATCTCTGGTTAAATGCTCTCACAGCATAGAAACCGTTGCACAGCTTTTATTGCGTTTTCCCTCCTTTAGATGTGGTTCCCATTATGTTTTTAATGTAATTCTCTTGTTAGAGATGCTGCACAGACTTGTTAAGCGGGGTTTTGTATTGCTGCCCCAGTTGTTTTTATTTATAAATTCTGATGACCTCATCTGCCCAAGTCGAATATAGGAAATTGTTTCAATTTGTGTCGCACAGAAGTGAAAAATATAAAACAGATCTTATATAATAGAGCCTCTCTATATGCAGTCAGTGTGACCCGGCCTTTAGGTAGCTCTGATGGATAGCCTTATACCTACGTTCGGTTTTAAATGCAATCTGAACCTACATGTTCAACATGGAGGGAAAAGAAAGCTAAATTACCAAAACCTAAAACTCCATGGTTTAAGGATGGTACAGTAAAAATCTGATTAGTTGATGCAGATATCAGATAAGTTAAAAACACAGTATTTCTGTTAGTTCAGTGTCGGCTCCTCTTAAAATGCAGAAATTATTAATACCCGTGGTATAAATAACTACTCATCTGTCACAGATAACCAAGCTTACCCAATAGATGAGTTGGCATATATAATGTGTATTTTTACCACATGGGTCCCAGAAAAAAACTTGGCAATGAAGCAATAATTAATGATAATAAATATGATTTGTTTCATTTGTCTTTATCAACACACTAATCCCAACCACCACCCCTAGGGAAAAAAAAAAAAAAAACACATCAGAAATTACACACTTTTCTGCAAAAGAGCTATTTATGCTCTATTCCACAGAGTTCCCTTCACATATCAAACTCTCTTGCAAGGGGGGAGAGGAAAGGGAAGTGGGTGTTAATGGTCATTTGCGCATGGAGAGGGACAGACTGGTAATTTCTCCAGAATGGCTACTCCGTCCAGAAATAACTTTTACTATTTACAGGGATACAGTAGGACATTACAAAGCAGCAGTGAATGTGTATGTTCATAAAGCCAAGCAGAGAACATGAGACCGGTTCCAGGTGGAAGCAGACGGACATAACCCAGGCTAAAGGCTGGTTTATGCTCAGAAACCAGGTCGTCTGCGTATGTTGCAGTGAATGCAAATGTGCCTCCGGCCCTTCCTCAGACACTCTGCTGCGCCTCTTCAAAATTGTAGGTGACGGCAGACAGGAGGCCTCTGATTGGTCAAATCTACATCCGCTCTACACTATGCGTATTTCCTGTTTGGTACCTTACCGGCTTGTTTTGTTTGTATGACCGCCATTGTGGTAAACTACTCGTGAAGATGGACCAGCTAGAAGAGCGAGGTGCGCGAGAACGCTGGGACCCTTTTTCCACCTGGATCCCCGCTCTTTTTCACCTTCATGCCCCTCTGTTGTCGCACAAACTTGCCCCCACTTCCTCACCGCCTCGGCCATATTTAGAGCCTCAGCTTGTTGGTGATTGTCCGTCTTGCGTTGTGGCTTGGAATAACATAGCGCAGACCATGTTCTATATTGGGCATAAATCAAAAATATCTGCAACAAGATCACTGCGACACACTGCTGCAGGGAATGTAACCAGCCCTTAAAGGGGGAGTGGGGGCCTAGGGGTTAGAGCATTGCGCTTGTGTGCCAGAGGTTCGGAGTTCAAGCCCCACTCCCACAGACTGCCACTCTGGCTCTCTGATCAAGACCCTTAACCCCACGCTGCTCCATGGGTGCTGCACAGTGGCAGCCTTCTGCTCTCCAAGGGGATGGGTTAAATGCAGAGAGTGAATTTCCATGTTGTGGGATACTAGAGGATTTACATTTGTTCTTTTTTAAGCCCGTACAGAATCCCAGGCTGAACTGCTGCCTGCAAATGTGTTAGGTGGTTAAGGTGAACAAGAGAAATCATACAAAACTTCCCCATGAGAAACACTTACTACAGCAGAAACTACATTGAGCAAACACCAATACTGTTTGTCCATGCATGTGATGGGAGAGGCAGCTTTGCTGGCTTACATGTGCAAACATTAAGTTTGTTTATTTTCAGTTTTTTTTCTAACACATGGTTCCTTTATAAGTATGTTTCACACCTTGATTTGAATTCCTCTTTAAATAAATACAAACAGTATTTAAAAATTCTAGATTCTTTTTTTAAACCATCCACTCTGGGAATTACCCAGAGGCTGTCATTTTTTGCAAACAAAGCGGCGTGTGTATGACGTCATCCGTGCATGCGCACTGGAGTCGTAACAGGAAGCCCGGGCCACAGGCGGCTGCGCTCTACCCCTTCTGTTCATTCGGCTAGCTAATCTGAATCGTTCAATTCCATTTTGAGAGCGAGATCATCTGTTGTAGTAGCACTAGACATCTTCCAGGCAAGTCGGTAAAACTAGCGGCAGTTCAGCGGACAGGATGAATGAATGGTAGCCGGCGCGCGGATGATGTCATACACACGCCGCTTGTTTTTAAAAGATATAAATATAAAAAATATAACTGCGGATGTCTGGGGGACAGTGATTCACCTACGTTATGAATGCTGGCGTACCATAAAGAATAAATTATGGACAGTTTAGTTTGTGCTGCAAGTATTTTGCCCATAGGAAAATCAAGGGGCCAATTTAAAAAAAAACGAAATTCCCCTTTAAGTTAAAAACATAATTTGTTTTTATAGTTATTTTATATACTTATTCCCAAGCATTTGCAAAACACTGATCGTCTTAGTCACACACATACCTCATTCCTTTCATACTTGGGTAAGCACTTTAATTCAAGGGCTGTAGCCACCTTCAGCCATCTGTTGTTGATGGTGGCCTTGCGTGCATCTAATTCCTTTTAGAAAGCGGCCTTGAACTTATTTATATCATATAGCCTGGATCCTTATCAGTGGGAGTCATGACGCACTTGAGATGGCAGTGTGTGTGGAGCAGGAGACTATAAGTGTCCCCTCCTAGCAGCTCTTTCACACATCTGAAGTGGAACAAAAATAAGATAATAAGACTCACTTCATTGTTGACATGTGTGAGTGTGACATAGCTGCAGGCTTTCCAAAACATCCTGCATTCTGTAGTCTCACGCTCTTGGTTAGTTAGTGTAACCAGGTTGTTCTTCTGTTTGGCAAAGGTGGCATAAACCGCCTCATGGTTCCACAGAAACCTAAAGATCAACAAGAATGTCAAATTCCATCTGTCAAGCAAATAAAATAAAAATTACATTAGTCCTACAGAGAGATAAAGTAGTTGTAGAGAAACGCACACAGACCTTCTCATGAAGAGCAATAAAACTTCAGAATCACTCTCACCTTGTGGATCCGTCTTGAACCAGGCTCTATCTGAATGTCCGAGGGGAAGTCAACCCATTGGACACATATGGCTAGGGCTGGGTATTTTCGCCAACGTCCTGAATCCATTCGATTTTGATTTATACTGTTCTAAATAGATTAATTTCGATTCAATCTGTTTTTACTATAATGAAAGGGGTTCAACTGTGTTTCAAAATACTCATGTATTTTGTTTTTTCCTGTCACATTAAACACAAAGTGCAAACTTGTAAATCAGACAGTTTAAACATGAGATGTGAACAAAACTGTCTCATAAGTGCAAACTTGTTTGTGAAAAGTGAAAAAGTGAAGCCTCACTTCCGCAAGCAGACGTGACACAGCAGAAATTCATGAGCTGCATTATCTTCACTGCACAAACCATATTTGCAGCGTTGTCTGTAACAACTACAGGGTGTTTGCTGGTCAGCCCCCATTTGTTAATGTCTTCACTCCACCTATTGGCTATATTTGCAGCTGTCTGTCTTGTGAACGTCACACGCGTCACTATAAAATGAATTGATCTTGTTCTCATTCCCTAGACATCGATTTTGCAAAAATGTAAAGGAATCTATTCAAAATCGATTACATACATTTTTTACCCAGCCCTACATGTGGCAAACACTCAACGCCATGCTGCATAGATTTGAAACAGATCAGAATGCCGCCATCTGTTGGATAACTATGAGAACTACAACTGAGTGACTATCCTAATGTTTGCATTTTCCCACGGTTTAACTTTTAAAGTGTAATAATAGTATTCATAATGATAATATAAATAAGTAATAAAAAACCAGATGTCTGACCTGTGAATTGTAATATGATAAACAGCCCTTCTGATACATAACAGCTATGTTACAGTGGGGGCCCGTCACTATATGACTCCGAATTATGATACATCCTGGTTTGTTAGTCATAATTATGTCTGATGGCTGATGGGTTAACTTGCTTGCCTTGCAGCCGAGAGACTGTGGGCCGGAATTCCACCCTGGTGCTATATTTTGTATCTAGTCATGTATATTATTGTTTTTGCTTCTTTATATAAATTGGGACACATCTGCTCCCATGTAGCCTAATATTAGAGGGGGCTGAACCTACAACTAAATAATCTATATTATTGGAGGCATCCAGGTTATTCAAATTTACAGTGAAGCTCAACACAAAGTGTGATGTAACGAGGCCTCGCTCACAGCGGTCACATGACTTGAAACTCTTCTCGGCGACACTTCCGCTTCAAAAGAGTTGAGACTGTCAGACTGACTCGAGCTTAACATGACTAGAGGACAGTCCGTCGCTGGTATAGTTGTTCTATACAGGCAGAGCTCTGCTTTAAGTGTCCTACTACTTTGCCAGGGCAGCACAAAAGGCAGCTGACCTGCTCCTGCGACCATTTTTCTTGCACGATTTGTTCGGATTGTTGTCACTTTACTTTTATTTAGCTTTTTTTTTTTGTCACAGCATCGAACTGCTCGGCCAAGCATCGCCGTAATGGGGGCTAACATTTTTCTTATGGTTAAAGCAAAAGTTTCCACTCTCTGTCTACTGGTCTTAAAGTACAGTGATTTCCCCACTATGATTGAGCATTATTTTGTTTTTACTAAATAATAAGGTGTTTAGAGAGCAAAGATTTTGGCTCTGTGACCACCAACCTCTCAATCCCTTTTAAATACTGTGGTCTATATTTAAAAAAAAAAACCCAAATAAAGTTAAAGGAATAGTACACCCAAAACATGATTAGCCTTCATTTTCTACTCACCCCCATGCTGAACAACACTCTGGAGTACTTTTTTGATATCTCAAATGCATCTGGAGATCTGGGAGATCTGCGCACTTTCGTCTGGTTTGGTCTGCCGCGGTTTCCGTAGCGTCGTGAACACGCTTTCAGGAAATCCTATACACTACTGTTTATGCTCTAAAAACATTCTAAATGACTTTGTTTCGAGTAAATTCTGGACGCTACCCACTCAGGACACTTGGAATACATTGCCTCGGGCACAATAGACCTCCATTATTTGAATGTCAGCAGACAGCAAGAAGCCTCCCAGATCTCCAGATGCATTTGAGATATCAAAAAAGTACTCCAGAGTGTTGTTCAGCATGGGGGTGAGTAGAAAATGAAGGCTAATCATGTTTTGGGTGTACTATTCCTTTAACATCAAAGTATACAACATTGCTCCCTAATTCTAGCCTGACGTAGTCCTACTCAATTCTAGTCAGAATATGAGTCTGATACTGCTCCATAGAGCTGTGATTATGGGGCGTGTTTTGAACGAACCAGGAAAAAAATGCTTCTGTACTCAATTGGATAGACCTACAACCAATAAGAGCAACGGAGTGCGTGACGTATCTTAAGCGAGGCATAGTTGTTGTCCACAAAAATCAAAGTGTGCAGTTTCACGCCTAGAATAAGAAGATGAGACTTGATCGCGTTTCTCTGTTCCTCTTTTAAAATTAATTTGCTGTCGATATCTTCTAGAACAGACCTAATAGCAGAATCTACTCACCCAAACTCTCCAGCGGCAGCCATTATTGTTGTCACCCTAGCGCGCTTTGGTCACGTGGTTGATAACGTTACTCTTGATCATCTGTCCATCATCGTATAAAGCCCGCCCTGACAATTTGATTGGATCGCCTGACAGTGGGCTTTAATACTCGCGCTACTATGGAGCAGAGCCAGACCGAACTTCCCGACCTCAAACCTTGTGGGCGGGACTAAGTTCGGACTGGCACCCAGGCTACCCTAATTCAGAATTTGGCCAAGAATCTGGTATCCTGACTTTATGGCCACGTTGCAGAAAAACTTTAAAATGTTGTAATTAGGGCGGCTTTGCTTGAACTCAAACATTTCTTGAAAATAACCTTAGAAAATGTTTCTGATCTGACAAGAAGTGACACGTTCTTTGACTTCTTCATACTTCTTGGGCTATTTCAGTAATATAGTGACGGGTTGGGATAACTTAACATGGCTCTAGTGTATTCACCATATACCGAAAGCAAATATAGCGAAGCCGCTCCCTGCCATCGAACACAGGAGCAGCAGAAGCATCAGATGCAGCTGGAAAAACTTAACTGGACCTTAATGTGGACAAGCAGCAAAGATTAAGTACCTGACCTTTATTTTCCTGCTGCAGTCACGTTCAATATCAATGAACCATAAGCCAAACAGAACCTGCAATGATGGGTATTTATCTATGAACCACGCAGCCCTTTTAACCAAAGCTTTACTAGAAGTATGATTACCTAAAGTGGAACACTGCTGTGTTTGTTTGCTATAGTTTAGCAGGTGATTCTACCTTTACTTGCTCAGTTTCTGCTGTGTCTTATTCTCCTTTTGATCTTTGATCGCGAAATGAACTGGTGATCTCCAATGGAGGATTACCATCGCCATAAACTTGTTTTTATTGGTTATTAATCGGGGTGTTTGAAACGAGTGTCCTTTCTGCGGTCTGTCTGAAAATGTGTCCCACTTTTTTATGGAATGCACATGACTAAAGGTAATTTTTTATTCTTTTTGGGACCGTTTTACAAACGCTCTTTTTATAGGAGGATTTTGCCAAAATAGAAGAAAGAAGCTTTTATATTTTTAATCAGTGAAGCAAAGATGGCCATTTACCTGTCCCGTAAAGACAGACTGCAGGAGGGACCTCACCTTGATGCAGTTGCTTTGTTGGAAGTGCAACGTTAAAGCCAGAATAAGGCTGGAGTTTCTCTTCCACAGAGCCACACAGAACATGGGGGATTTTATTCAGCTGTGGGGTTTTAACATCATTTTATGTACTGTGTTGGATGAAGGACGACTACAATTTAACAAGCTCCTCGATTTAATGGTTTTTAGCTGACACTTTTACATCAATCATTGTTTATATGTTTTGAATTGTGTAAATAAAGTGTTGTTAAAAGTCTTCTGATCTCTGTATTTCTCGTGTTTAGCTTCAGGCACTGATCCAGGAAGCAGACCCAGGAGCTGATTATCGTATCGACAGGGCGCTTAATGAGGCCTGTGAATCCGTCATCCAGACAGCCTGCAAACATATCCGCAGTGGAGACCCCATGCAAGTCCTTTTACATTGTACCTTAGCATTGATTTTACAATGTTAAAAAGTATCCACTTTTCTGATGTTCTTTGCTTAGAATCTGTACAACCAATAAATCTCTTTTTATTTCGGTATTGAAACCAAAGGTTCTCTTAACTGTTAACTAAAATAAAGTATAGACAAAGAACATTTTACCTCTTGAAAAGGTGGATCAGCAGTAACTATGAAATTTGTTCTGATGCTGCAGGATATTATCTTGTCTGATGGAGCATCTGTACACCGAGAAGATGGTGCAGGACTGTGAGCACAAGCTGCTGGAGCTGCAGTACTTCATTGCCAGAGATTGGAAGTAAGCAGCTGAAAGTGATTCAGTAAAAAACAAAAAGTTTCAAATTAAACTAGTGTGACAGAAAAAAAACAAAATGTTAACATTCACAGCTAAAAACAATAATTCTCAAAATAATCTAGTTGTAATTTTCTCTTTGTATGTTAAGGACTTTACCTAGATTGAATAAGTCTAGGTTTGATAACTTTTTAGAGTAAAAGTACTTGATAAATAACTAATTAGACTAAAACTAATTGTGGATAAAGCTTGTTTTTAATGTGCTGTTGGTAAAGTGCATTTAGAGGAAGAAATAAAGTTTAAAAGGCACAAAAAAATAGAATTTCACAGTGATGTGCTCAATCAGAATACAATTGTATTCATGATGCAATGCTGTGTTTTTTTAGGCTTGATCCAATTTTGTATAAGAAATGTCAAGGCGATGCAGCTCGACTCTGCCACACTCACGGCTGGAATGAGACCACTGAGACGATGCCAGCTGGTGCCATCTTCTCCTGCCTGTATCGCCATGCTTATCGCTCGGTGGAGCAGGGACGGAGGGTGCGTATACCATGCCATCATAGACTCTCCATTTGAATATGCCTTTGTAGGAATCTTTCATCCACACTTAACAGATTACATTTTAGCAAAGTGAGAATATATCTTTAGCAGCTTCTGCATCTAAAGGCTGATTTATACTCAGAAACCAGGTCGTCTGCGTGTGTCGCAGTGAATGCAAATGTGCCTCCGTCCGTTCCTCAGACACTCTGCTGCACCTCTACAAAATTGTAGGTGACTGCAGACAAGGAGGCTTCTGATTGGTCAAATCTACATCTGCTCTACACTATCTACATGTATTTCCTGTTTGGTACCTTACTGGCTTATTTTGTTTATATGTCCGCCATTGTGGAAAACGACTTGTGAAGATGGACCAGTTAGAAGAGTGAGGTGCGCGAGAACGCTGGGACCCTTTTTCCACCTGGATCCCCGCTCTTTTGTCGCCCTCATGTCCCGTTGTCGCTCAAACTTGCCCCCACTTCCTCACTGCCTCGGCCGTATCTAAACCCGCAGCTAGTTTGTGATATTCCCTCTTGCGTTGTTGCGTTGAATAACATAGCACAGACCACTCTTCAATATAGGGCATAAATCAAAAATATCTGCGACAAGCTCACAGCGACACACTGCTGCGGGAGGATAACCAGCCCTTAGAGCTGTAACCCGGTATGTATCAAAATGGGGAGCTCGGAAATGCAAACCATGTTTTAATAACTGTTGAGTCAGTTTCTAATATAGGTGCCTATCGATCATAATTGGCCTTATATTATAAAAAAGAAAGTTATCAAAATTTGCAGATCAGTCGATCCACAAACTTTGCAGAGGCCCACCCGCATTGCATCTTTCTTTTCCTTTGCACTGTGGAATCCTGGCAGCAAATCCTAAGCACTGTCATTTTATACTTTGAGAGTAATATGAAGTTTGCATCTAGCAAGGGAAAAATTCCTGGAAGGTCAAGCATGTCAAAAAGCATCAATACAACGTGACATTTAAAAACAAGCACTTGGCAGGGTATGAGTTATCGAGGCACAGTGCTGAAAAAAAAAAAACAGAGACTGAGTAGATCAATGGACAAATGCCGACACTCTGCTCCATGAGCAGGATAACCTGAAAAATGATTTAATTAATCAGATAAAGCACCAGTATTGGGTTCTACCAACAACTCATGCTACTGGGGCATAAATATTACAAAGATGTAATATCGTTCCTGCTTAACCAGAATGTAGAGACACACAGAGAAAGTCTCCTTAAAGCTGCAGGATGGATCTTTAAAAAAAAGAAAAGTTTTGCTATGTCCGAACATGATGCATATAATCTGTGGGAATAAAAAATAAAGCTCCTCTTTTTCTCCTTCCCTGTGTCCAAAGAAATCCAATTTTTTTTTTTCCTCACTCACTCTTCGACACTGCATGACAGTTTTTGGCAAGCAAACAAACCAAACCGCCAGACTGTCAGGCAGTTTTGATGTAGCAACTTCTGATTGTTTATTTGCATTTGACCTTTATGTTTTATTTTTACTTGACATTATTTTATATCAGCAGTTTTGTGATATTTGTATATGATAATAGTTCTATATGCATACAGTGAGGAAAATAAGTCTTTGATCGCCCCGATACTGCAGCATCAGAACAAATTTGATAGTTACTTTCCAAGTTCTCTAACTTAGAAATCATGGAGGGGTCTGTTTTTACATGACTTATGCATTTAAGAGTAAAAATCATACAATAAATATGTTACTTTTTTTTTTTTAAGTAAGCTGTCCTCGGTGGGTTTCTGTGCTGGACATTTCCAAAAACCTGCACTGGAATGTCATTGTTTGGCTTTAAAAAAAAATAAAGGTTGTTATCTCAATGCTGCTGCTCTTTCTTATACTGATTTCATCCCCAGCTCTCCAGAGACTGTAAGGTGGAGGTGCAGCGGATTCTCCACCAGAGGGCGCTAGATGTAAAGCTAGATCCCGAGCTGCAGAGGCGCTGCATGTCCGACCTGGGGAAGTGGTGTAGTGAGAAGACGGAGTTGGCCGGCCAGGAATTGGAGTGTCTGCAGGATCATTTGGAGGACTTGGTGTCTGATTGCAGGGAAGTGGTGGCAAACCTGACGGAGCTAGAATCAGAGGTACGCGTGTCTTCCTTAACAACAGCAAACTGATGCTTTAATCAAGTTTAAACTTATTAGAGCCATCAAGCTGGAAATTTCAGCAATTTAGTTTGCAAGACCTGCTGCAGTGACCATGTTGATCAGTAAGATAATATCTGGTTAAACCGTTTCACCCTACTTTCCATCCTCAGGATATTCAGATTGAAGCCCTATTAATACGAGCCTGTGAACCTGTAATTCAAGCGTACTGCCATGTGAGTATACATTTATAAATAGATCTTTGTCCTTTCAGAAGGTTTCAGGATTTCCATGTTAAAAATATATTATTTTAGAATTTTTGAAATAATTTAAGAACTCATTTCAGGATTTATTTAGTAATTTTTTCTTTTTTAGACTAGAATCATTTTCTGTGATTTAATTACACAAACTTCCTTAGTCTTTAACATGGGTTTCAGTAATGCTAATAGAATAAAACTACTTAGAAAATTGTTTATCTCATGAATAAAGATTAGTGCTGAATGTTATTTAAAATGAGAAATCCTTTCATTTTGTCCTATTTCCATTTGTCAGGAGGTGGCTGACAATCAGATCGACTCTGGTGACCTAATGGAGTGTTTGGTTCAGAACAAACATCAGAAAGAGATGAATGATAAGTGTGCAGTGGGAGTCACACACTTTCAGCTGGTAAGAGTTTTGGTAAACCTGCGTCATAAAGCTGCTGTTTATGTGGTTCTCACTTTATTTTGCCTTATTCTTTCATTTAAATCATAGGAATTTATGAAATCCTTGCATAGGTTCTTAATTCCACCTGATTGAACTTATCACCTGTATAATATCAACTCATCATTTTCATCAGTCTTATTTAGTTTAATTCTTTCTTAAGTTACATGTAGACCTTTTTTTCTACCAAAATCTCTGATTTGTGGGTTCTCTGTGAATTTGATGTGTCCGCTTGGCTGTAGAACTGAAGTTGAAGCTGATCTATCTGCTGAATCTCCAGCTAACAGACCTTTCTTTCTGTAATTTTCTCCAGATTCAGATCAAAGATTTCCGTTTCTCATACAAGTTTAAGACTGCCTGCAAAGAGGATGTCCTCAAGCTTTGCCCCAACATTAAGAAGAAGTGAGTCAAACTTATTCCTCTTCTTTTCATGTCAGCAGCACATGGTTATGGTAGAAAAAAGCTAAGGAGAAAGGTTAGACATTGATACTGGGAAAGGTCTTTTCCTATGCTGAAAATTTTAATTTTTTTATTTACTTTGGAGCTTTTAAGCATCAAATCCATTTTTTTCTCAAAGTCCCTCCATGTTAGAGAGGTTGGTGAGTTGTGTTTTCAACAATAATTTCCCATTCCTCAGCTGAACATCTAATCTCCAGCTCTTTCTCCTATGGTCCATGAAATTCTTCACATTGTATTCAAATTGCCCAAGCTAGATATCATATTTATTATAATAATCATAAAATTGGTTATATTTACTAATAATCCCAATATTTATTGTTTTTCAGAATTAATAGAAAAATTGCTTCAGTGATGTAACTTTAACAAAGTTAACAAAAAAATGGTTTGAGGAAAAATTTCTTCAGATTTTTTTTAGATTTTAGATGAAGCCCGATATGTTTGGATATTAACTTTTTTGCTGGTATCTGACTAATTTCTAAGATTAATATCAGCTTAGGACATCCCTAACAACAAAAACGGGAGTAAAAGGTCTAACAAAATAGAAACCGTAAACATAAACATCAAGTCTACATGCACCTCAAACACGGTTTCCCCGGCATGAGACGTGTATTTACATAGTATCCTCGAGCAAACCACTTGGGCATTGAAGTGAAGCAGCCAGCAGGGAATTTCTCACAGAGAAAGCAGAGCGATGGCAGCAGAAGTTGGAAAATCTGAACATCTCTGTGAAATCATGTCGCAGCAACTAATCAGGGACTGTTTGTGACCTAGGTTGAAAGAGTGCAGCCAAGACAAAGCTTTTTAGTCAGAGTACAATACAGAAAAAAATATGTTAACGAAGAATGAAATAAGGAATGCTCTTGAGAGGTTTGAAGGTGGCTTTTAATAAAGTTGTTTTAAATGAGCCCTAGAGGGAGTGGTTGTTTTCCTCCAGCATAGAGCCTGGCCAGCCGCTGCCTCTCCCCGGCACTGGTGCTCTCTGCCCAGCTAGATACAAAGAACTACAGCTGAATCCAACTGTCATTCAGATGCAGTATGGAAACGTTGTTTTTCATCTCCAAATGGGTCCCATCTCTTGAGAATCGGGCAGACCCATAGAGTGGATATAGAAACTCAAGCTCCGCCTATTGTATGATGACTGCTGTAAGGGCGATGTGCATCTGAAATGCACAGTCGTGAACTCCAGGCGCAGCCGGCGTAAATAACCAACAGCACCGTGTTTGGTGTGAATGTACCCCGATTTGCCTGTATTGTAAATCTTCAGTGTTTGTAAGTTTTAAATCCAATAATAACCTAATAACAATAAAAATGTATAGATCAATTTAAAACCTCTAAACATAAAAAACTAAACTTTTCTATTTCATTTTTAAATTGTGGAGCTATATCTGATATTAAACAGATAAGACTGTTATTATGGATGAGTATACAATGTAATTTAGTCATATTATTATTTCTAGGGTTATTGCATCACTTCATATGAATATGAACGTTGTAGAAGTCTGGAAAGTTCCAGTGCAAATGAATGATGGGGAATTTTGTAGGTGATTGACATGACAGAATCCTTTTACATGTTTTTAGAGTCAGGAAAGTATTAAATGATTTTAGTCATGGTTAAAGCCATACTGACTCCTTTTTAATGGTGTGTATTTTTCTTAGATTTATCTGAAGATGCAGTTACCAAGCAGCGCTACGATTTTCCTGAAAAGTTTTTTTTACTAAACAGATCAAATTGTTTGTCGTTTAGGGTGGATGTTGTTATCTGCCTCAGCACCACAGTGAGAAACGACACCCTACAGGATGGCAAGGAGCAGCGAGTTTCTGTCAAATGTCGTAAACAGCTTCGAGTGGAGGAAGTGGAGATGGTATTTTCACTGATGCACTATTGATTAGAACCAATATATCATGTAACCTGACTTACTGAGCATTTTAGAAGTTATAGCCAGTTGATTTAGCAAATTTTTGTATGCACTTGTTTATGTTACCTATTTTTGACCAGAGATGCACCAATCCATTGAATTCCAATCTGATACTGATATCTGGGCTGAGCGCATTAGCCAATCCAGATCTACTACTGTTAAAGCATACGTTGCCATGAGAGTAAAAGCATTAGGCTCGACATAAATGCTGCTTAAAAAAGATATCAAATAAACACCACTGTAAATGTTTTATAGCTGCTGTGCCTGCCCTGTATAATGGCATAATTGACGTCGCAAACGTGGCATTGTTTGATAATAATATCAAAAAGCAATGATTGACAAGAATGCTGGATCAGTGTAATTCATCTATCTGATCCAGCAACTTTTCAATATCAGAGTTGATATGATATTAGGGATGCAACTAATGATTATTTTGCAAATTGATTCATTTGTTGATTATTTTTCTCAATGAATCGATTAATAATCAGATAGATTGATTCCTTAAAAAAGATTTTCTATGAAATTAAACCAGGTGAAACTCAAACTTTCGCCCTGTGGAGCTCTGGATAGAGCATATTGACAGACAAATTTTTTTTTTATCTTAAATGCAAATGTTACATTTTCTTATTACAATTTTGTTGTAATTAATGCTTTAACTGGGTCTGTCTGTCAGCTAAAAGCATGTTTTAGAGTCTCTATATTCCAGTTAACGATTAATTGATGACTGAATAAGTTGACGATTATTTCAACAATCGATTAATCATGATTGATCTGATTAATTGTTTAAGCTCTTTATGGCATTGTATTGGATCAGATCGGTGCATCTCTATTTGACATGTTTAGGGTTTGGCTTAGATCTATAATGTGAATTACTTTTTGGAAAATTAATAATGTGAGTCAATGTAAAGTCAGCAAATACACAGAAACGAGCAAACTGGTGTGTGTGTGGGGGGGGAGTGGCGGTCTAGTGGTTAGTTCATTGCTCTTGGTATCCAGAGGTTCTGAGTTCAAGCTCCACTCCCACAGACTGCCACTCTGGCACCCTGAGAAAAGACCCTTAACCACCCGGGCACCGCACAATGGCAGCCCACTGCTCCCCAAGGAGATGGGTTAAATGTACAGAGTTAATTTAGTTGCTCTGTACTTTTGACAGTGTGATGACAATAATGCTCTGGAAAATGGAAAGCCAGTGGTTCACCCTCTTAAATCAGTTT